CTGGGGCTGGGGCTGGGCCGGCCAGAGCAGGGCAGCCTGGGAGACACCGGCTGTTTGTAACCCTGGCGGCCACATCAGGAGACCCTGTTGGGCGGCGGCGGCGAGAAATCGATTGGTTTTGGAGCAAACACCCAACGCCGGGGAGGTTGTGGGAAAGACGGGGCGGTCTGCTCGCGGCCGGCCCCTGTGTCTGGGGTCGGGGCCCAGGAGCCTCGCCTTGCCGCTGAGGTCGCCTCCGGTCTCCAGGGAAACCGGGTGCGCAGGAGGCCTGGTCTATAGTCTCGGGACCCGGGGAGGTGGGGCGCTTCCCCCGGGAGGCGGGGACCTCCTCAGCCCCCACCTCTACCCCCTCTTGAGGGACTGAGTGCTCTTGCCAACTGCACCTGGGCTGTAGCCTCACATCACTGCTCAGTGATCCGATGATGCGCTGTAAAACCAAGGTCGGGGGGGGCCTGGGGAGACCACGCCCCCAGCCCTGCTGGGGTGACCTGGACTGTGCTCGAAGCCGGCCAGACGGACAGGGCCCAGCACTGCCTGGGTGGACGTCAGATGGGCCCTGCGCCCCTGCCCACAGCCTGGCGGGCTGTGCCTGAGCTGTGGGGACCCCCCCACCCCGCAAGAGCCCTTCCCGCCCGAGGAGGTGGGGCAGGCTCACCCCATCCTCAGAGCTTCACGCGAGGAGTGTTTGCACGTTGGAAGCTTCGAGCCGGGTTTGCTATTTTTCTAAGGATTAGGAGCAGCGAAGCCCTTCATGCCGCTCTGCCCGGCTGAGACGGCTCGGCCTCGCCCAGTGCCCACAGGGGCCCTCGGGGCTGCACGGGGCCCTGGCACGGGTGGGGTCCGGGCTGGCCTGGGTCAGGGGGCCTGGGGGATGCCTCCCCCGGGCCGAGCCTCAGGGAGCCCCTGCTCTCCCCTCAGCCTGTGGGGGGCCATCGATCCTCAAGGCGGGGAGCCATCCACGCGTCCCCACGGCCGGCCGCACCACCTGCTCGCTCCCTCCGAGCTCCGCTAACAAGGCGATCGATGGGCCGCTGGTCCTAATAGGCGGCCGGGCACATGCGTGTCTGTCTGGGAGGCCAGCCGCGGGGTCCGCCCAGCGGACTGCAGACCCAGCGCCCTGGTCTGGAGGGAGCACCCAGAGAGCCGTGAGCAGGGGTGTCAGCACACAGGAGGGGCCCACCAGTGAGCACCGAGGGCAGCACCGGTTACCCCCAACTCTGAGAATTGTCCCCATGAGCCCAGAGGCAGCCTGGAGCCAGCCTGGCAGGTGGGGTATCAGTGAGTGGCTGGGGTACAGGGAGGTTGGGGACTGTGGGTGGGATGTGAGGGGACTTGACAGAGACCCTGGCTCAGGAGGACAGGACTGAGGCCACAGGTGGGGGTACAGGAAGGGGCTCCCCTGCCTCGTCAGCTTCAGTGCTGCCCACATGGGCTGAGTCCCCCCTGGCTCCCTTTGGACCGATCAGTGAAGTGGGGCGGGCTGAAGCTGCCTGTGAGGTAGTGAGCTGCCCGTCACTGGGGGCATGCAAGCAGGAGGTCTGAGAGAGGATTCCTGCTCTGCAGGTTGGAGTGGACACATGGACCTCAGCAGTGTCCCCGGGGCCTGCCCAGCTGAGCATGGCACTGGGGCAGGTGCAGGTTTTGTCCCCAGAGACCCCTCCCAAAAGGATGACCAGCAAGTGGGAGGGCCCAGCTGGTCATCCCCAGCCCCCAAGTCCTCCCAGAATCCAGCTGCCCCTCCCAGTCCCCCTCCCCCGTGTGGCTCCAATTACAGCAGACACCCACACTTGCCCAGAGGCCCAGCCCACCCTTCCTGCCTGACTCCCCTCTGCTCCTGGGCCCCGGGCTCTGCACCCCCAGCCCCTCATCCTCACTCGGAGCAGAGTGATCCAGGGCCTCTGATCACAGCAGGAGGACAGGAAGCCAGGAAGGCAGTGCCAGACCCTGGGCCCCAGGCCTGTGTGCCAAGCCCACGGCTGCGCTAGTTCAAAGGGTCAATTGTTTAGGGCTCTGTGTTCGACCTCTGGTGACCGGAGCGGGCAGCTTGAAACTGCCGGGTGGGGCATCCACCCACAGAAACCGACAAACCTACGTCATTTCCCTTCTTACGTTACTCCCGCCAACTGTACCTCGTGTTGCCCTGCCCCATGTTCTGGGTGAGGAGATGGAGCCCCCAGCCTGGCTGTGACGTGCGTAGAGGGCGGGCGTGGGGCCTTCGATGCCGTCACCAGGGCTCAGGACAGCTGGCGCCTGGACATTCCTCGGCCCAGAGCTGCCCACCGCACCCTCGTCCAGGGCACCTCGTCCACGAGCCCCGACAGGTGTGCGCGGCCCCCTCGCGCCGCCAGCCGTAAATCTGCCGGCTAATCTTTCAACATCACGGCCCCTGGGGACATAATGGATGGGCTCCGGCCTCGCCGGCTGCTGGGAAATCACTCAGCGGCCAGACAAGCCCTAAATCTGACGCAGGGCGTGTTGAAAGGAGGCCTGTCTGTTTTCATAACCTACCTCAGTCACAATAAATATTTAAAATGCGCATTAACATCCTCTCCCGCACAATCGGCCTCTGTGGCCGCCGGCAGATTTAATTAGCTCCGGCTTCCCCGCCGCCCGCGCACCCTGGACCCACGGCCCTGTTTTCCTAAACTCCCGGCCGCCAGAAATACGGCCTCGCCAGCTGGGCCGACACAGGGCCTTTGTCTGGCTGGGCTTCCCTCCGAGGCCCAGGGCTGGGCGGGCGGGCAGAGCGGGGCTCGGGCCCGGGGGGTACACGGGAATCGGGGCCAGTCTCGGGTTCCTGGCTCCCCGGCCTGTGGGCAAGCCCTGACCACAGCCCCAGGAGCCCCCAGTCCCAGAAGGGGAAGATGGGGCAAGCCAGGAATCAGGCCGAGGCAGGCTCCGGGCCGGACTGTCCCAGGAGGCCTTGTGCCCAGCCGGCCGCCCAGTGCCAGACTTACACCGGGGAGCTCCTCGCTGGGGCTGAGCACCCTCTGTGGCAGCTCGCAGAGGCCTCTGGGCAGGTGGCCTGGCTGAGCAGAAGCCTGGACGCAGGGCCTGGCCGGGCTGGTGGCTCAGTGGTTGGAGCATCACCCCGTGCACCAAAAGGCTGCACGTTCGATCCACAGCCGGGGCACATACAGGAGGCAACCGATGGATGTCTCTCTCTCTCTCTCATCAATAAAAACAAAGCCTCAGTGATTTTAAAAAGCCTGGACGCAGGAAAGCAAAGGGGCTGGGTGCTGGCTGTGGTCCCGAGGCCCCGGAGGCCGGGGTGAGAGGCCTGAACCGCTCCCACAGGCAGAGAACGGGATGGAGGGGTCAGGGTGGCGTGGAGGAAATCCAGGTGTTCTCCCTGGAGGAGGAGGCTGAGATGATCCCTGCTCGACCAGCCCTCTGTTCCCTGGCCCCTAGGCGGCCTCTCCAGGGCCTGAGGCTCGCTCGGCCGCAGAGGCGCAGGACGGTCACGTTTTCCAGGCTGGACACGAGGCTACCTCAGGGCTTAACCTCGGGTCTAAGAGGGCAGAGGCTGGCGGGGACCCAGGCTGAGTGGGAAGTCGGGCTGGGCTCAGGGCTCCTGGCAGCTCAGAAAGGGGCCAGGGCCTGCTCCCCTCAGCCTTGCGAGGGAAACCGAGGCTCAGAGAGGGCACGCCCGGGCCCCGGGGTGCCCAGCGCAGTGGTGGCTGTTGGGGGCCGAATCGTGTGCCCCAAAGACACGCGAGTCTGCACCCGGCTGCCTGCAAGCGTGGCCGCGTTAGGAACAAAGGTCTTTGCGGATGTGACGCGGGAAGGTGAGGCCGTGCAGGGTCAGGTGGCCGGGTCCAGTGGCGGTGACCTGACAGGGAGAGGGAATCTGGACAGACAGGCGGGAGAGGTCAAGGGTGACGGGGCCTCCAGGCTGGGAGGCACGGCTCGTCCGTCGATCGAAGTTGCCCGTCTGTGGGGCGGGGCGGGCACGGGCGCCTGTCCCTGCAGCTGGCGGTCCGGGCCTTCCTGTCCACGCGCTGTCCGTCCCGGAGGGAGAGCGCCCCCTCTCCCGCAGGTGGACGCAGATCCCGGAAGAGATGGACGGAAGGCACGGCCGGGCATGCTTTAAAGCCATCAGCGGGTGAGCGCCGACCCATGACCCGGGAGGTCACGGTTCAGTTCCCGGTCAGGGCACATGCCTGGATTTTGGGCTCCATCCCCGGTGTGGGGCGTGCAGGAGGCAGCCAATCCATGATTCTCTCTCTCTCCCCCTCTCCCTCCCTCTCTGAAATCAATAAAAATATATTTAAAGAACAAAAAGCCACCAGACCTGCCCTGGGCGGTGGATCTTCCAGAGGAATCAGGCTCGCGGGTCAGGCGGAGGGGCTGGGAGGCCAGAGGCTGGCCGGCTGGCCCTGCCCCTGGGAGCAGCAGAGGG